GGGTAAGGCTCTTAGCTCTGATCTCTTGGCTTTCTTCTTTGCATTGGTTCTGTGTTTCTTATTTAATAAGACAGTTACATCTACAGCCTTCTGGGAAAATATCTTTTGAAAACTAATAAAAGGGAACAAACTGGAGTTTGGACCTATATTTTCACGTTCTGATGATATCTGGAGTGAAGTGTACAAACTGGCATTTTCTGAAGAGTGAGACATGGTGGTAAGAATCAAGATAGAGAGATGCCTCAGTGGTTAAGAGCATTGCTGCTCTTGCAGAGGACCCAAGTTCAATCCCCAGCACCCACATGGTGAACTGCCTCTAACTCCAGTTCCAGGGATCCAGAGCCCTCTTCTGACTTCAGTAGGTCTTGCCTGCAAGTAGTATACACATACATGCAGGAAAATACTCATAGATATAAAAGTATAACATAAAAATAAACATTTTACAAAAAAAGTAAGAGGCTTAAGATGTTCAAGAACATTGAATTGGAATCAACTGCCTATCCAACTATCAGAGATCTATAGTACATAGGAATGCTAGGCCGTCAAGAAAATAATGATAAATCATGTGCTTGTTCATTTCTTTGCTTATTTTGGAGATAGGGTCTCACTCTGTAGCTCTGGATAGCCTGGAACTCACTCTGTAGACCAGACTGACTTCAAACTCAATAGACCCTTCTGCCTCTGCCTCCCAAGTGCTGGTGTTACAGGTGTGAGTCATTGTATCCAGTTTAACAAATAATTTTTTTTAATTAATTTTTAAGTTAGCATTAACAAATAATTTTTTTTAATTAATTTTTAAGTTAGCATACAAAGTGATGGGTTTAATGGGGCATTTTCATACACACACATCATTATGCTTTGTTTTTATTCATCACTGACAGGTTTTAATAACGGAGAAATGCGGAATCTAAAATCATACTATGGTAAAAGTCATACAAAAGTACCAATAGTAAAACCACGCATGGGTCAGCAAGATGGCTCAGCTGAATGGCCTGTCCTGACCTATACCCACTAGGGTACCAATTCTAGAACAGGGCTCACGCTATGCTATGGCTATCATGGGTCTTTCCCACTCCCTCTTCAACCCCATGGTGAACTTCTTTTATTGTTGTGGTTATTTTAAAAATCATCTTATTTTATGTGTACGGGTGTTTTATTTATATGTCATCTGTGAGCCTGGTGCCTTCAGGGGCCAAAAGGGGCTGTCACATCCCCTGGAACTGGAATTGCACAGTTTAGCCTCCATTGAGGTGCTGGGAATTGAACCTGGTTCCCTGGAAGAGCAGCCAGTGCTCTTCACCACTGAATGACTGACCTCTCCAGACCCACAGTGAGCTTCTTTAGGCTTCTTATTTGTCCTTGTACCACCAGAGCTCAGCAAAGACATGATTCGGAAAGGCATCAATATTTGAGGAACTGTTGTTGTTAAGAAAGTGCCTCACCTTTGATCCCAGCACCCAGGAGGCAGAGGAGGTGGATCTCTGTGAGTTCAAGGCCAGGCCAGTCTGGTCTACAAAGCAAGTTCAAAAAAAAAGGTAAATGCCTTGTTCAAGAAATGTTATGCAAGCTGCTGGGGGTGGGGAGGGTCATCACTGATCTTACCCAGTGGAAAACACTGAATGCTACAATACTGACCTGCCAGGCATGATGTGCCCACTGGTACAATGGTGGCATGATGGTTATGGTAGTAACTAATCACTTTCTGATTGAATTTGGGGCCTGCTCCATAGAAAAGAATTCATGCCTGGTACTGTAAACCTAGAGAAATGTCCATGGCTTGGGAGGACATTGGTTGGGGTGGGGGTGACAACATATACTCATTATTTTGCTAAATGGACATGTTGGTTTTTTGAGATAGGGTTTTCTGTGTAGTCCTGGCTGTTCTGGAACTTGCTCTATAGACCAGGCTGGCCTTGAATTCACAGAGATCCTCTTGCCTCTGCCTCCTGAGTGCTGGGAATAAAAGCTCGCACCACCACCTCCCGGCTCTAAATATTTATATTTATACCTATAGATCAGTGCTGCTCTCAGCCTTAGCCAGAGAAACTTCTTTCTGCAATGGACAGTAGCTAATGGAAAGATCCATAACTGGTCACAGTGCTGGAAACAGTAATTATTTTTTTTTAAAGATTTATTTATTTATTATGTATACAGCATATATGACTGCAGGCCAGAAGAGGGCACCAGATCTCATTGCAGGTGGTTATGAGCCACCATGTGGTTGCTGGGAATTGAACTCAGGACCTCTGGAAGAGCAGTCAGTGCTCTTAATCTCTGAGCCATCTCTCCAGCTCTGAAAATAGTAATTATTGAGTGCCCAAGCCTAAATGAGGTGTACATGTCAAACCCTGCCCCCCCCCCCGAAATACTAGGCTCAGAGAACACCATGTAAGAGTGTGGTACTTTGAGGGCTGGAGAGATGGCTCAGAGGTTAAGAGCACTGGCTGCTCTTCCAGAGGTCCAGATTTCAATTCCCAGGAACTACATGGTGGCTCACAACCACCTGCAATGAGATCTGGTACCCTCTTCTGGCCTGCAGGCATACATGCAGGCAGAACATTGTCCTCAAACTCGCTCTCTAGACCAAGCTGGCCTCGAAGCAGGCAGAACATTGTATGCATAATATATAGAAGAACATAATAAATAAATTTTTAAAAAAGTGTTGTAGTTTGAAAGAAAATGGACCCCAAAGGGAGAGGCACTATTAGAAGATGTGGCCTTGTTGAAGTAGGTGTGACCTTCTTAGAAAAAGTATGTCACTGTGGGGGTGGGTCTTGAAGTCTGCTATGATTAAGATACTGCCCAGTGTCTTAGACCACTGCCTGTTGCCTGTGAGTCAAGATGTAAGACTCTCAGCTCCTGCTCTAGCACCTTGCTTCCCACCATGATGA